GCCGCTGAGAGGTCAAGAAGCACTAGGACGGAGGCGTGACCTCCATCCCTGGCTCTCCAGAGATCATCGGTCAGTGCGACCAAAGTAGTTTCCGTGCTGAAGCCAGGCCTGAATCCAGACTGAAAGGGATCCAGAAAGAATTTCACTTGGCAGGTTCTCTGCCATTGCTCACACACCCCCTTTGGAAAAACCCCAAGGTTGTGTTGAGCCCACGCTCCCCTGGCTTTCAAAAAGATTGTTAAAACCTGGCTCTGCCGATTGGCCTGGGATTCGAAGAGTGTTAGACAACTCTGGAGATTGTTGGCTTCATGAGAGTGTTCTCCATCTTTTTAACATTTAAGACATTAATCCTATTTTTTAATTCTGTTCTGTTCTTATCTATGCTTTTATATTTTGTAACATTAGCTAACCAGAGTCACTCAGGTGAGATGGGCAATATAGAAATGGGATGGATGGATGAATGGATAAAATATGCATCATATGGTGGTTGGGGGTGAAAATGGAGAGAAAAACCAAATGGCTGAGAACCTTGGGGGATATATAAAAAAATAAAATAAAAATCTATATCAGAACTCTTCCCTGTCCTTTACATCCCATATCCTTAAAATGCATAGCCATCCACACCAAGTCTCTTTCAAATGAAGGTTCCAGCTATTTTGTTCTCTTTGGATCTAGATACTTTTGTGTTTCAGTGCATCTTTCTAATTTTCCATCTGTAGGGTTTTCCCCAACCTGGTTCTCCCAAATATGTTATCCCAGTCAAAAAAATGTTTAGCTTTGAGAGAGAATTGTTACCAGGGTGTAAAGAATATATACTTTTACATTATTTTATTCTCTATATTTTCACTTTTAAGAAATAAGGGAAACATAATCCCTTATCCATATCTATTAATCATAGCTGTTCAGTGTCTCCTTTTACCACAAGATGGACAGCATATAAATTTGATAAATAAAAATAAATAAATTCACACTGGGATCATTCAGAATGCACTCAAGGAAGTAACTGGAATAACGAGATGATCCAAGCTATTCTTTATTGGAAAGAGTGAGTCATCAAACCCCTCTTTTAGAGGCCCCGATGTAAGGTTAATGTGAACAGGTTACTCATGTATAGCATATACGTATGAGTGCAGTAAACCCTCTTGAAGGAATGACAGAGGCTAGTGTTTGGTAACAAAGGCTAGATAAAAATATTCTGACTGAGCTACTAAATCCAGAGTGTAGAAGGCACTATGTAAAGATGTTCTGGTATGCATTGTTTATACTTTGTTAAAAAGCATGCCTGATAAGGATGTACAGGCAATTCAAACGTCCTTGAGATGTGCTAGTTTCCTAGGAAACAGGACTTTCTTGCAAATCAAACAATGAGGCCCTGGAATTCTTTTTGTATTATCCACTTCTATTGTATGATTCACTGCTACCCAATTAAGTTTAACCATTTGTGACATGAATTAAGAAGCAAGAGTGGTACTTACATGAGATTACTATTTGTGGCTGTACTTATATTACTTACCTTGTAGATAGTTGATAAATTGCAATTGTTTTTTAAAAAATCTGAATGATACTTTTTCATCATTTATGTTGGCAGTTCTGATTATGACTACATGCCATCAAATCATTTTTGAATCTTTGTAACCACAGAGATTCTCTCTGTCCTATCTGGCCTTGATTAAAAATCTGTCTAATATCACCACATTAATTACAGAAGATTTCTTTAAAATTGTGCTTTCTTTTTTTACCAAAATAAAGAATATTGATAAAAGATTTAAAAACAGAAGAATATAGTGGTAAACATTTAAAAAAATAAATGTGTATCTTTTATCTGTGTTGCATGCATATAAGCTTATCCACAGTTAAATATATATAAATATAATTTTGCTTAAAAAGACATTTGTACAAAAATAAATGCAATGTTGGGAATTAACTATGAACATAATTTATATATTTATTCTTTGACCATTCCCTGCAGGGGCTTTACCTTATCACATAACCAATCTGGAGAAGATAGTTGGTTGAAATCACTGTTTGTCCGCAAGGTTGATCCCAGGAAAGATGCTCACTCCAACCTTTTAGCCAAAAAGGAGACTAGCAGCCTTTATAAATTGCAGTGTGAGCATCTATTTCTATATTTAATATTTCTCTATTAGAGTTTGTGTCTTACTCTCAACCTTTTAACATTAATGTTTGATGTTTCAGTTCACAATGTCAAACCGGAATGTCTAGACTCCTACAACAAACTTTGGTAAGTCCTGATATCCAGCTAGATGCTTTCAATTCCATGTATCAGACTCTAAATCTAAAATATATTTACTTACAGCCAATTTTATGAACTCAGTAAGACTTCTAGGTAAACACACATATGATTGAGCAAACACTTCATCTGCTCACTTGAAAGGAGCAAGTATAAGTTATCTCAGGTTATAAAATGGATAGTATTTGAACTCTGTGTTGAAACAGTTCACACACAAAAAATAGTACAACAAAGAGCTAGAACCTTTTCCCCATATGCATTTTTGTACATATAGATTTTTGCACACTGTTGTTCAGGATTGTACTACTTCATTCTGCTGAATGTGTAAAAGTCATAATTATGCTATTAAATATGAGAAATATCCACTTATTAACTATGCAGAAATACTCTTGAAGTTCTCTTCTTAAAAGCAAGAATAGTGCAAGTTTTCCTTTGCCAAGGCAAATATAGAAAACGTCAAGTGATTTTAAAGTATCTAAATTTTCACAAGGATCCTTAGTCATTGATGTTGTATGAAGATGCTGTGGAGAGATCTCTTAGAAATTTAACAGAATAACATTTGGAAGGGATCTCAGAGGTCTTCTAGTCCAACCTCCTGCTCCAGCAGAAAGCCCTATACCATTTCAGACGAATTGTTGTCCAATCTCTTCTTTAAAATCTCTAGAGTGATTTTTCACCACATCATGAAAATGCAATTTTGAGGAGGATTCAGTCCAGATTGTATGTGTGGAATACTGATAGATAATAAAAATGTTAGTGACAATCAACTGTCACCAATACTATAAATACTTCGGAAAGTGAAGTCGATAGCATGCAGCTTATATGCATTCCTTGTGTTTTTGTTTTTAATCAGTGAAAAAATTCTGCCAAAGATCCATGAAGGGAAGGAGTATCCATGTACATTGGTGGGGACGTGGAACACGTGGTACGGAGAGCAAGATCAGGCTGGTAGGAGATAAGACATTTAGCAGAATGCAAAATTACTCCAATGTTTGCAAGAGATGTTTTGTTCCAATCTGGATGTGAAGTTACAAAGGGTGGGTGAGGAAAAAACAAATCTACTGTACAAAGTAGATTAACAGAGGGCTGATTACAGAGAGCTGATCAAGTCCTGCAGGGGTCTAAGAAAGAGAAAATACTGACTCAGCAAAATTCAAATGCTCTCTGGAACACTTATATCTGATGCAGCAGATGGAACCAACCTATGTCTCTCCAGTAAGAAAAGAGAACTTAAATATGTGTCTTTTGATTTCAGTACATCTCTGGCGATATGAGGGTGGCTATCCAGCCCTTACAGAAGTCATGAGTAAACTTCGAGATGATAAGGTAAAACTGAGTGATTTCTATCAATACTTTCTAACATTTTTGGTAACTTCTGGCCTGGAGTTTCCTTTCTTTTCATGAAGAGAAAGGATCTTGCTCCTGTTTTAGTCTGGATACTTTGCAGATGACTTTGCTCAGTGGCTTGTCCCCCGTCGTCGTCCCCATGCCCCCATCCCTGTAATAATAAACAGGGCTATATCAGAGAGAAAAATGAAAAAGGCTGCTTATGATTGATGATATATGGGGGGGAAAATCAGTGGCCACATGGCCTTCGAGCTTGAAAATAGCTGCTTGAGGGTCCCTTAGTCTAATGGAATATAGTCCTCTCAGGATGCTTTGCCATGAAAACTCAGCTCCTCTTATGTACTTTTATTTGCAAGGTTCTCTAATTGTCTACTGTAACATTATCAGACATAGACTAGTTTCTGACATGTTTCTGTAAGCTGACTATCTCTTCCAAGAATTTGTGTCTCTGGGACGCTGCTATAATATTGTTAGTGAAGGATTATATTTTAGAAAAGTTTTCTGCAGCTTCATCACCAGATATTAGTGGCTCAGTTTTGTTGGGAGCTATACCTCATGGGATGCGGTGGCTCAGTGGCTAAGATGCTGAGCTTATTGATCAGAAAGGTGGGCAGTTCAGCGGTTCGAATCCTTAGCGCTACGTAATGGAGTGAGCTCGTGTTACTTCTCCCAGCTTCTGCCAACCTAGCAGTTCGAAAGCATGTAAAAAATGCAAGTAGAAAAAATAGGAACCACCTTTGGTGGGAAGGTAACANTTGTTGTTGGGGGCAATATGCTGACTCTGTAAACCGCTTAGAGAGGGCTGAAAGCCCTATGAAGCGGTATATAAGCCTAACTATTGCTACTATTGATCTCCGTTCCAACCCAGTAGATTCTATCTCATTATGTGCTTTTCATGGATAGGAGCATCTATAAAAAGGCACAAAGGCAGAACAAATTCTCGCCTGTATAAAAAATATATAGCATCCATCCACTGGGAAAACATGTACTCCCCCCCCCTCACAAAACAGGTGAAACTTTTAAACAAATCGTTTCACTAACTTGAGATGGGTCGCTGTGTAAAGGACTTTCATATTTTAAAAAAAAATAAAACATGGTCTCACTAGGGGATACTTCCTAAAAAATAAATAAAGTTAAGAAACCGGTTGTAAAAAGCAAAAGATTAAGCACATTTTTACACAAAAGGATGAATCTGAAATAACTGAATTTGCCAATCAGTCCTGGATAAAACCTTTTGCGTCCATAACCAACATGCATTTGGCGTTGCACTGGGCTGAAAACAGAATTAGAAATCAAGATATTCTGCGTGCCTGGCTCATTCCAGGAAATACATACTCCTCAATAATAATCTGATTTTTAGATAAAGTGGAAGGCAGCAGAGAGAACGTAACTGAACAGGAAGGTAATCCCGATACAGGATGTTTTTTTGCAGAGAGCAAATCTAGAAATGTTGTGGTGGAAACCAAGAACTCTGATAATTTCTATGTAAAGGTAAAGGTTCCCCTCGCACGTATGTGCTAGTCGTTCCCGACTTTAGGGGGCGGTGCTCATCTCCGTTTCGAAGCCAAAGAGCCAGCGCTGTCCGAAGACGTCTCCGTGGTCATGTGTCCGGCATGACTCAAGGCCAAAGGCGCACGGAGCGATGTTACCTTCCCACCAAAGGTGGTTCCTATTTTTCTACTTGCTATTTCTATGTAGATCTTAGTTTAAAAAATGGTTGGTAGTGGATCATACTCAACTGAATGGAGTGTTAAAAATCCATAAACTATTTTCTAGCACAATGAAAAGCAACTCTTTGGTGGATCTCCACATACCAGCTACATGCTCTTGGGTTTCCAGGGGCCAACAGTTCAGGTTTCATAGATTATGACTTCACCTGATGATGAAGTCACTTTCTATGGAGATGGCATTATTTTGGAAAGTCTTCTGTTACATTACAGTGCTATCTTGCTCGCCCCTCAATTCCCCTTTTCACTTCCAAGGACTTCCGCCTTCCATATTTGGCTGCAGGCAACGACTGCCTGCTTCTGAAACGTGGCTGAGGTTTTTTAACAGGAAGAAAAGGCTTATTGCGAGAGAGAGATGAAAAAGGAGCCAGTGGGTGGGAAGAGTGGGTGGGTATAGGGGAGCTCACTGTTGAACCACTAGCTTGAAAACTAAGGTTTCGGTGTCAGAAAAACAACTGTCTTTACAGCAGCCCCATAGTTGGTAGCATGAAAACCGAATCGACGGTCAAATGGACGGATACATGACAGTTAAGATGTAAAGGAAAACTACCAACTGTTCTTTGACAAGTCAAATAAAAGATTTGCTTTTTAAATAATGTGCAAGTTTACACAGCCTTTTATTGCTAAATATGTGGGCTGTCTTACTCCAGGGGTGTCCAAACTTGGGAACTTTTAAGACTTGTGGACTTCAACTCCCGGAATTCCCCAGCCAAGTTGCCAGGTTTGCTGGCTGGAGAATTCTGGGAGTTGAAGTCCACAAGTCTTAAAAGTTGCCAAGTTTGCTGGTTGGAGAATTCTGGGAGTTGAAGTCCACAAGTCTTAAAGTTGCCAAGTTTGCTGGCTGGAGAATTCTGGGAGTTGAAGTCCACAAGTCTTAAAGTTGCCAAGTTTGCTGGCTGGAGAATTCTGGGAGTTGAAGTCCACAAGTCTTAAAGTTGCCAAGTTTGCTGGCTGGAGAATT